AGGGGTTATTACACTTACTGTTATAAGCTATAATACAAGATCTTAAACCTTTGTAACTTATGAAATTTTACTACATTTTTCCTCGGTGTGGTCAAGTAGTACAGTTCGGTAGTCTTTTTGGGTCCCCTGCCTGCTGCTACCAAAGTTCGAACCGCCTGCTGGGGTGTTTTGATTAATGATCTTCGCTCTGCTCACTGGTATATAGTATAAAAAGCCCTTTTTGGTCAGTCCGATCGATCGATTGTCGTTTTCTGTTTTAGTCGGGTTAATAAACTCCCCGAAGTGCTACGTATATGGTAATAATGTATAGTCATACTCGCTTATGGATCTATAACTATAACAGTTTCATTAACTGCCTGCAACATTAATTAAAACATTTTCGCCAGCAGCATTGGGCCAGCATACTGATTGTTACTTCTTCGAAAAGGCAACAATTTACAGTGGTCAACTTGGAATTGGATTGATAAATGGTGTGATATGTAAGAGAAAGTTTTGATATTTAAGGAAATATTTATGTTCGCTTATTATTATATAAGTTTTTACTATGAGAAGATTATTTAAAAAAAATGAAAAATTAATACAAATTAAATGTTATTCAAGGTGCTTAAATTTATTTAGTATTTTTGCTATTTATTCCCTAACCAACTTTCACCTTGAAATCCATTCAGAATTGCAAGTTCAGTGTAATATTTTATCTTTTCATTGGGCGGCTTACAGGTGGGCGGTATTATGTTGGGGGAAACCCATAGTTTACAGGTATTTATGGTAGCTGGGCGATCGGCGAGTAATAGCCACATTTTATAAACAACTTATTTCCTTAATTGATTGTTAACAATGATTGTCGATGTGGCCCCCAAAACGAAGCCTCCCCTCACCCCGAATCGAACACTCCTCGGTTCGGTGTGCATCTGCAGTTTGTGCTTTTGGCCACGTTGGCTGACGTTGTATCTATTAACCACGCACTCCATTATTATTTAATAACATATTTCTTAAGTATCTGCCAACCCAGTTCAGAGCACAAAACGAGCCTCGGCTTGGTTGGGCTTTCTTCGGCATCGTTCGCCTCCTGACCATAATTTGTGAGGCCTGCCTCAGATCCCGATCCCTCTTCTACTATTTTATTCCTACACAGAGAGAGAAAGTTTAAGTTATCAGAAAGCCTTTCTTTAAATAATATTTATGTTTGTAAAGATAACTTTTAACTTCTTTTCTTAATATATTTTACAAAACTTTTATAATTATTTTTTAATATTTTTAATAATATTTTTTCCTTTGTGCAAATCTCAACGTTCGACTCGTCGTCGCCGTTCAAAGTGATTGCCACCCCATTAAAAAAACGGCTGCGCCTTCTAGTTGATGTTGGTGATGTTGTTGTTGTTGTTGCTGTTGTTGTTGCAGCCTTGGCTCCTGCCACGATCACTCAATAAGTCTAGACAAAATGTACCTGGTACCTGTGATTGTCGCTCCTCGATGGTGGAAAGTGGGGGATAGCTGCCGTAATGGATCAGCACGTTGCCAGGTCCGTTGAGTTGAGTTGAGTTGAGCTGCCTGCCAGCCCGTTGCCTTTCAGACGTCGTCTCTACGTCATCAGCAACAATAATAACAACAGCAGCAGCAGCAACAACAACAAAGCAACCATCATTTTTTTTTGGGGGGGTTGGGGTAGGGGCAGCCCCTTCAATCGTGAAAAAGCCAGCAACCATCATATTTGTTGCATGATTATGTGGTAATTGCGGCTGTCAATAAAACTCCCCCGTTTTATTCTTTACAACCGAAAGCATTCTACGCCTATATTTTCCTTTATGAATATGCAGACACTGAGAGAAATATTTAAAACTAAGGAAAACTATAAGGAAAAAGTTTAGGTCTTTACACTTTCCTTTGAATATATTTGCTTATCCCTTATAATAATTCCACAAATCTTGAGTCCCAAATCAAGTTGTTAGAAAATAGAATAATATAGTTTTATAATTTGATTAATCTAGGCATTTTCCCAGGTGTATATAGACATGTTAAAGCATATTTATATATATATAAAGAAAGATGGATACACGATGGGTTCCATTCCCTACTATGATTTAGTTTGACAAAGGAGTGACATCCAAGTACTTAAGTGATTTCTTTACACCTTTTATGGAGTAGTTAATGCGGTATGGGCCCAAGAGCCACACATTGAGCCAAGTCATGCCGGTTGGCCCCTTGTTGCCTATAGCCCCTCGGCAGCCCAACCCCTTGAACCCTAAACCAACGATACACTCTATCCCGATTCATGGCACCCACCAAAACCACAAAACCTATACAAAACCCACAGCACTTAGCGGCGTTTAGGCTGCGGCTTTTGTCTGCCTTTTTTTCTTTGGTTTACCCTGGGAAACGATCGAATGCGTCTCAGAATGAAACTCCTGTTCTTTAATCGGTTCAATGTCTTGGTTTTGTGAATCATTCGGATCGGAGTTCAGTATGTAAATCTCAAGTGCAGCTACTCGATGTTTATTGTGTCTGGAATTTAGAATGTGTTACTTGTTCTTCTACAATCTTATTCCCATAAAACTGTAACAGTTAAATAAAAATATAAAAATATTTAACAAATTTACAAAAAAAATGCAATCATTTTCCATTTTTATGAGTGGCAGCTTAAGCCGTTTAGTGGCAATCTAAGCCAGCGTCCATAAATCTCTCGAATCGTAGACCATTTTTGATAACTTTGTTTGCCTGGCTGGCTAACAATTTCCGTTCCATTTGTGCAACTGTTAGCCCAATTGCCGACCCCCGGGCCAGTTTCTTTAGAGCAGTGGGCGTGTTATGCTTGTTACTCGCAGATTGCGGCAATTGCATCCAAAAGTGGGGCTCGCGACTGAGTTTTCAACGCTTCATCGCCAGTTATCGGGCCATGCCCCAATCCAGTTGGAGCGTTTAGTCTCTCCGTCTGTCTAGGTGTTAAATATCGAGAGGCCCGGCCACCAGCTTCCTTCCTTTCTACATATAACTATATACTATATATATAGATATGTATATCTGGTACGATGTTGTGGCATCCATCTGGGAGTTCCACCACCGCACTGGGAGACATTTATCGCGCGTTGGTGTCGGCTCTATCTGGGCGATGTGTTGTTGTAGGTGCGGAAAGTGGTCCACACGAGATTAGGGTGTAGCTATCAAGTCGTCTCTTGCTGTTCCGCCTGCGACTCCCCGGCGAGTGGGTGGCAAATAAAAGCGCCAAAACACTTAATGCATTTGGAGCAGATCGACTCGTACACACTGCGGGAGAAGATTCCCATAAAAAACGCAATGGAATCATATTTAATTGGCGTTCTTTTCAGAATTGTAATAAGTATTTTGTCATATCTTCTAGTTTAGAAGGTTTATCTTTATTATAAACTTTATTAGGCTTCAATTTGAAACCTTTCCCAGTGTATTACTTACACCAACCTGGTCTCGAATAGCCCGTAAATGGAGCTCCAAGTCTAAGATTGGTAGCCTGGGTGCGTCTTCCTCATCACCGTCATCATCGTCTTCGACTTCGACTTCGTCTTTAGCGTCTGGATTCGAATCTGTGTGTTGAGCTTGTTAGCAAAAAAGAAAAAAAATGGGAAAAAAAATGAAACGGTCGCTGCTGGGTGTTGGCCAATCTTTAAAGATCAAACAATAAACTTAAAGATCTGCTGGGCTTACCTCGGCTCTCCTCCACTTTTCTCGCCTTCGACATGCAAATTGTGCAGCCGAAGAAGTGTCAAACAATGTCAGTGGGAGAATGTGTCTCGCAATTGAAATTTATTTGCACTACAATTCACTGCTGACAATGCGAGGAGCCATTGGGATGTACTACCTTACTTAGCCCGCTTTCCATACCCCCCTCGTTCAGCGCTTGCCTCTTCACCCGCTCCTCTTCCCTAGCAGAGGAAACCCTCTGCCCCAAAAGTCACAGTCGAAGCTAGCGATCTCTAACCCGTCAACTCGTCAAGCTGTGAGCGTCAATCCACAACAAAGTCAACGACGAAGACGACGGCCAAGCCTGCCTTGAGGATTACACTGGGAAAAATAGGGAGTAAAACTGGAATGTTTAAAGTTTAAAGGGAAACTTTAAGAAGAATTCCATAATATTAATATAATTCCCTAAATTAAGGATATTTTATGTAAGCCATCTATCTTTCTACTTAACTGGATTAAAGCTTAAATAGAAACCGAGATATGTTCCTTTAATATATACTTAATACCTTACACTTTTCCTCTCAGTGATTGACTAAAGCTCAGCCTCATTCATGAGCCCAGGGCCCAGAAGGCAAACCAGGCAGATCCAGCGAGCGGCGGCAGCGTTTTGTCGCTCGAATCGCTCACAGCTTCTGTGCTGTGATTTTGCCAATTGGCAATTGCCTCCTCCGGTGCCGTGAGCATTTGCAAAATGTCAATCTGGTGCTGTGCATCAATTCAAGTGTGAAATAAATAGAAACGAATCCAGGTCCCAAAGTCTAGCATTTTGCTATAATTTTCGCGCCATTTGCTGTCGACTTTGCCTGTCCGTCCGTCTGTCTGTCCGTCAGTCGAATGTCTGACATTTTTTTTCTCGATCTGGTGAAGAAAGAGAAGCTATGCTGAAAGTATTTACAATTACGCAAAGATTGATTGAAATAGATTTCGGATTGATTGGCTGCGCTGGTATGCACATTGTGCTTGGAGTTCTCTTTTCGCCAAATGGTGGGAATCGCGCAGGTTGTGTGTGAAAGAGGTTAAGATGGAGGCTAAGAGCCGGCTAGCTAGGTGCTGGGATAATTTCTAATTAAGCCAACGCCAAGAGAAGATACATTTTATGCGACACATTTATCCAGCAGATAGTTTTTATTGATTGCCAACGGGCAATCGGCTATAGCGCCGCAGGAGTCTGAGAAATCAGCTTTCTCTCCAACGATCTCGTAGATCGTGGAAGGTGGTTTGCTGTTTGCTGTTGTTGCTGTTTTTTTCTTGAAAAACCAAAAACCAAGCCCAATCAATAAAAGAAACTCATGTTCATCTAAATATTTATTTGTATTTATTTGTGGTGACAGCAATAATAATTTTCTTGATCATCATTTCGACTGATCTGATTTGCATACCAAATCATCACACGAAAAGGAAAAATACTTATGCAATATTAAAAATTAATAATTTATGCTATTTGCTATACAACTTTGTGTGCGCTTTGCTTTACATTAACATTTACATTCATGGATTTCTTTTTAGACGTACATTTAAAAATTTGCTAATTGTGACTAATAACCTCAAGACGAGAGTAAGATTACACAAAAATTTGTCTAGCATCGAACGTTTTTCTGTTTTTTAAACTAACAAATACTCATTTTTTGGGGTGTGTGGATTGGAAATGTCTAAGTAAGAGCTAAGTAAATTTAATAATATAATATATACTTTATATATGGTTTATAGCTTAGAAGAAAACGAAACTTATTGATTACAAATTCCACTACGATATTTTATGCATACAGCTGCCCCTTTTTGCATATTTTGCTACAGTTTCTTTTCTTTTAACATTTGTTTAGCTTTTCATTTATTTGTTTATAACTTTAGGCTTAGGTCTTGTATTTGCCTTGCCTTGCTTTTTTTGTTGTTGTGGGCAACCGAAAAATTTGTTTATAATTCACTGAATAAATTATCGAAAAAAAGATAACATTTGTGTTATAGTTTTGCGGTCGCTATATGCAAATCCCTTGTCGGGGGCCGATCGACTTTTGCATATTTTGGCCATTTGGCTAGTTGTTTTAAACGATGTGATAACATCTAACCAAAACGGCACGAACTCGTATTTAGCGCTTGTTAATCAGAGTCAAACTTTTCTGCCCCCAAAAGAGACCATTTCATGTTTCGAATTATTTATATAACTCACATGCGTTTATTGTTTTTTTCTTGTATTTGTTTTTGTTTATTAAGATTTTTTTGTTTTTTATTTTTGGTGGTGTCTTAGCGGGGGGCTAATTTTCTATTGCCTCAATCGATCTTCACTGGCTGATAACTGTCATTTTGTTTGTTGTTTGTTCTTCTCTTTTAGATTATTTTCAAACCTTCGTTGTTAGATCCAAGGCATTCGAGGTGGCCACTTTAACGGGTGCTTCTAGCCTCAGACGTTTCCCATTTTCACTGGAGGCTTCTAGGAGCTCGTCCAGTTTCCTTTTGATCGTTTCACTGGCTTCGCTGTCGCTTAGGATACTATTATTATTGTTATTATTATTGTTATTGTTGTTGCTGCTGATACTGTTGTTGTTGTTGTGGCTCTTTTCAATGCTGGTCTTCACTGTCTCCGTGGTGCTGTTGTCCTCCTCCTCCTCCTCCACCTGCTCGTCATGTTCCTCCGTCTCCTGGTCAGATATCTCTTCGTCTGGCGTTACTTTCAGATCCTCATCATCATCGTCATCATCTTCGGTATCGTTCTTCTCAATATCGCTGGAGATCTCGGGTTCGACTTCGATTTCTGGGCTACAGCTCTTGCTGCTGCTTAGGGAACTTCCAGTGGTCTTCATGCTCAGATCAATGGGATTATCTTGACCGGGACTGGGATTTGGCTCATCTTCGGCTGGCGTTTCCGCTTCTTGAGGAGCAGGTGAGTGGGGCGGCGTCATGGAAACCACCAGATCCTCCTCCTCTTCATCATCGTCAGCGCCGTCGATAATTTCCTCCACCCTCGCCTCGTCGTCTTCTTCGTTTTGGCCATTACTCTGCCGGCTTTTCACTCTCTCCCTGCCACTTTCTGAATTTGGTGTGACCAAAGCTGAAATCGAATAATCCTGCTTGGAGTGTGGCGGCAGCTTTGTGGTCGGCGGTGGACTTTGCTGTTGGGATTTTAGTACAGCATCCAAATAGAAACGTTTGGTTAGCTCATCGGCTGCTCCACCGTTGGTCAACAGGTGGTTGTTGTTTGGGTGGTTACTTGGACTTCTGGGTGGTGCAGGCTCGTCTTCCTTGTGATGCTGCTGGTGGTTGGCAAATGGTGAAGTACCCGGGGCGAATCGCTGACCAGCACCACTCGAGTTGAACAAATGTTGCACCGCCGCTGCAGCCGCTGCTGCTTGTTGTTGCTCCGGCGTGGGCTTCAGCAAGCCCTGGTGGTGTGAGTACAAGGCGGGATGGTAGCCAGGGAAGAGCAGGTGCGAGGGAGGCAGAAACGCAGGTGGTGGCATCACGGGCATGGAAGTGAGTCCCGGGAAAGGTAGCGGCAGGAACGGCGACAAATCTTTGCGCATCTGTGGTGGTCTGCCAGGTACCAATCCTCCACCTCCGCCCGACTGACTGCCATCGGCACCACTTGAAGATCCTCCAGAATTGGATTTCCCACCCAGATGCAGGAGAGGATTACCTCGTACCGAACTCACCTCCACGGAGCTATCGGAGTTATGGGAATCCGGGGAACTCACCGAGGGTGAGGCTACTACGGGATGCTTATGGGAGCCATATTCCCCGCTGCTTTCCAATCCCAGCATCATTAACTCCTCTTTACTCCTCACGGAACCACCGGCATTGGCCACGGCATAAATACCCGGATAGCCACCCGGATGACCTAGCATTCCAAGAGCTGCTGCTGTCGCTGCCGCTGGTGGTGGGACACCCGACATTCCCTTGACCCCATTTGGCATTCCTCCTGCCCCTCCACCCGAACCGCCTGCACTTCCTCCGCCCGCCTGTTGGCTATTGTGGTGCGCCGCCATGGCAGCCACCGCCTGTTGTTGCTGCTCCTGCAGCAGGCAATGGATCTTGAACCAGTTGGAGCGGCGACCATAGCGGGATCCACTCTTCGACATGCCCACCATCAGGCATTTCTTCAGGCGACACGCCTTGCAGGCGGTGCGGTTCTTCTTGTTGATGATGCACTCGCCGTTGTTCTTGCAGTCCGATATCGATGACAGATTGTTGTAAGATCGGCCGAAGAAGGACTGTAAGAAGAAGAAGGGGAAATATAAGAAAAGGTATCAAAAATGTGTTAAAAAATATTAATAAGTCGAAGTCATTAAGTTGTTTCCATTTTTAAGCACTTCAGAAATACCAAAAACTCCACCCTCAGCGATAACCTGAGCTTCTTCAGCAACTTCTTTCATCGCCTTCAATGATGTCATTCAATAAAACGCTTTCAATGCCCAACAATAATATCTCATTATATTTTTGTGATGATTCATCGGCTGGCGGGGCTGCTGAGACCCAGACCTCTTTAAACGCTCTGCCAAAAAAGCGGAAAAAAGAAGAAGGGGAAGGCAAATCGACATGCACAAGCGGCAACCAACCACCTACACCTCCGGCATTAACCGTTGGCTTGGGGCACCACAACCACAATCAATTGCAACAAAGCAAACAAACAATTTAATTCAATGCGGAGGAGCCATGAAAAGCTGAGAGCCAAAAAAAGCTGAGAAAGAAACAAAAAGGCCCCGGACAGACGGCAACATGTTGCTGCCGCTGCCGCTGCTGCTGCTGCTGCTGCTGCTGCATGTTGCAAAGGTTATGGCTGTGCAACACTTATGCCAAGTTGCAATGTTGGCAGTAAATCACCAACGCTTCACGGCCTGCCCGCCTGCGTGCCCGCCTGCCTGCCTGCCTGCCTGCCTGGCTGGCTGGCTGGCTGGCTGGCTGGATGGCTTTGCAATCAACCAAAAGGGACAGACTGCCTAAATGACTGACTGAATGGTTACACTCGGAAAAGCTTGTCACTTTTCTTGCCAGGCACTATTTCATTCTGGTTTTTCATTGACTTCAATTTCTCCTACTGTTGGAAAAGTGATTGAAGTTAAGAAGTTATAGAGAGCTGTGTGAAAATATAAAATATTATATATGAAAAATCTTAAAATAACATCCAAGAATCTGAAGAAACAGAATTTTAAAGAATTTGTTGAAAAAAAAAACAGGCTGTCCAAGCTGAGTTCTTTGTATCTTTTTCTCTAAATAAAATGTATCCCTTTTCCTTATGAAATTTCTTCCAGTGCAGCTGACTTACTCTCCGTCTGTTTGTCAGTATATTCAAGTTGGATGCCGTCGTTTTCTGATCGTAGGTGGAGCTTTTGAATGGAAGAAACACACCGGTGCCGAGATGCTGACGACTAAGCGCAAAATTGAGCCGAGACAGAAACAAAAACAGAAACAGAAAAAGAAGCAGAAACAATGCGAAAATCCACTTTTAAGGTTAATTGGGCATCAAGATTACTGGGTCGGAAATGGAAATGGAAACGGAGGAGATTTCAGGCCCGTCTTTAAGTTTGTATCTTCAGTTTGCCGTTTGCAGTTTTCAGTTTTCAGTTTTCAGTTTCATTTCAAGAAGCAGACGGACGGACGACTATTTACAAGCAATTTTGTGCATCAAGGCAGATTCACTTTTGTTTGTTTGTTTTTTCATGGGCCTCTTTTTTTTTTTGATTTTTTTAAGTCTTCTTGTGGGCGTTAAATTAGCCAAGCGAGGCCCACGCCATTGCGAACGAGGCCCAAGCACAAATCAAATAACGCTGACCCACAAATTGTACGTTAGTTGACCTTTTCTCCTTGGCGTGGGCAAAAAAAAATACTACGACAAGAAATCAAAGAAGAAATATAAAAAAAACCAAAACAAAATCAAATCCGGCGACTGAACTCGAATCGAGTTGGTTAAGAAACAAAACGGAACGAGCAGAGGGAAAAAAATGATCATCCCACCATTAAAGGAGTATTCGTATTTAAATCAATTATTTGTGGGGCGCTTTGTTTAACTTTGACCTTAGCCTGGGGCAGCCATTTGTTGCCGCAGCTGCCCCTCCCCCCCTCCCTTTGTGATGGACCCAACATTTCAGTTGTTTCGAAGGAGAATGGCCTCATAACTTTTTCTGCTTAGCGTTTGCATCACGAAGGCGGCGAATTCGATTTATTGAAATCGATTGAATCGATTGATACCAAAGACTGTGAGCCGCTGAGGAATGCTTGTTTGAAAGTTAGGGAAATATGATGGTCAAAAGGCAAGAAAAGTTTAGTTTGAAGACAAAGTTAAAGATTTTCTTAATAGAACTTCTACCTACAAATTAGAGATAAAATCTCCTTGTCGATCAAATCAAATTCAAATTAATTGCAACATAGTACTCACCTTGCAACCCTCGCATGTGAAGGCTCCGAAATGGAATCCAGCCGCCGGCTCTCCACACACCTTGCACGTCTGATTCATCTGCAATGGAAACGAACAGAACACAGGACATGAGAATGGGGAATTGTAAGGAAAATTTCAACCAAGAGGAGGCTTCTAACCCTCTTGGCACCCAACTAACCCACCCATTCACCCACTCACCACCACCTCACCGAAACTAAGGCAATAAATTCATAAAATTTCAATTAAAAGCAACAGCAAATCATGACACGAGCATCTGGAGCTCTCCATCTCGTTACGAGTCCCCCGTAAGAGAATTGGAAAACCAGCCGCCAGCGAAATTCACACGCATTAAAAATTAAAATGCAAACATAGTTTGTCATATCGCGAAATTGGTATCAACGAAAGAAAAAGAGCAAGGCTAACAGAAATAAATAAATAAAAAAAACGAAAGAGCTGCAAACGAACGACGACAAATGGAAATGGGAAACGGGCCTAAAGGAGCCTCCAACAAATGGTTAACAGAACCCGACCATGAACTCCCTACAGGGGAAGAAAATCTTGTCTAATTTTCTTTAAAGCAAAGAAGGTGTGGGAATAAAAATCATTTCTTAAGTTTAAAATTAACTTTTTTATAAGAAATATATTTTTTAATATTTTTTTATATTTTTATATTATATTGTCAAGACCAAAGTCCTTCTTTTTCTTTTCCGTGTCCACGGCTAAGCGTCTCTTCTGGGGCCCATAATAAAATATGAAGATGGAATCAAATGAAAAATTGCCTCAGAGCACACACACACACATACACACACCTTCTGAGCAAACAAGCAGCATTTGCATTTATATGGCCAACTCTGTACCTCCTCCCTTTCCCTCCCCCCTCAAATAGGCACAACTTGTAGCTGAGGGAATATTTGTTTATTTATTGCGAGCGAAATGTTTATCAACAAATTGCCATCAATTGTTGTTTGGTTGCCTGGCCAGGAGTTGGCTTTTCTCCAGTTTTCCCCCTCCACAGCTTTTCCACAGGCAGGTTGAAAATTGGTCTGAGGCTGATCGCAGGGAATTGCGTTTTCCTTATTGCCACTTGTGGCTGCAACTGGAGCACAAACTCTGATGACACGCGCACATGCAAAGAGGGGAAATTTTGGCCAGGAGGAGGTGCCTTTTCATTACCAACTGATCGTGGGAGAGTCTTTTTTGGGCAATTTGGAAATTGCAAGGAAAAAGGATTTGAAATTTATGTTCTTAGTTTTTTTAACTGCATTTTTCATTAATCACTCTTATTCGAAAGATTAAAATTGGCCATTAAATGAATAAGAAATAAAACTAATTTTTAGCACTAAATACATGAAATTCCAGAAAAGTGTAATAGTTTTCCAAGAAGTTGTTAACACGAGTTATGGCTAACACTCGTTTATGGCTTTTAAGACATTTAAATATCGTTATGAAAGTAAAGTGTTCCTTAAGACTAATGCTCGGAGCGCAGAGCAATTGAAATCCTTTCAAATATATCAAAACTAACCGAAAATTGGCTGCCCAACTGGTAGCCAATATCAGAATCATCCTCCAGCCAAATGTTGGCCACCTTTTGTTATGTTTTATAGCAGCCATTGGCCCACAGGCGATAAGGCCATAATTCTTGCGGGCCACAAACAATTTGGCACATTACAAAGTAGGAGAAAGCACTCAACACATTCACTTTTCTCATTCGCTTCTTCGGGATCGACTGGATCCAATAAGCAAATCCCCAACTGGTAGGGGGAGGTAGGGATTGGTCTTATAAGAATACCAAACCAATTGGCTTAGTTCGTTCAGGTCTTGTTGTTGGTATAGTTGTTGTTGTTATTGTTGGTGCCTTGTTTGTCTGTAAAACATGCTAATCTGATTTCGTGTTATGTGTTGAGTTGGTGGTGAATTTTGGCCCCGACTTTGGGTCTTTGGGCCCCCCTTTTGACTTGGAGGCTCTTGGATATAAATTTCCTACGTTTAGGTTTCATAAAGCGTCGTCGGGTCTGTGGTCTGGCCTGCCTGCCGGCCTGCCTGGGATTAATCGACAAATAAAAATCACATAAAATAAATTAAAAATTATGAGTTTCAAGTTTCAACAACCTGCGGATTGGCAGCCAGATTTAGTTTGATTTTAAATCACAACCAACTGGCTGGTTGGCTGGCTGGCCAGAAAGAGCGACCAGAGAGCCCAAAACACGTTGCAGATGAGCCTCGCCGTGAAATTTATGCAGACAATGTGCAATATTAAAAAGCCATAAACATTTATTTTACAACAGACAAGCGACACATTCTTACCAAGTCACTGGGCTGTGGCATTTAGGGAGAAGGTGAAATGCTGGAGGGGAGAATATGGGAAGAGATCTGCTTACTCTTACTATGTATTACTAAGCTAGTTGTTAGGTGTCACCTTTGAGTTTAGCACATTGATTTAAGAGCCAAATTGGCAATGAAAAAATCTTACAAAAACTAAAATATTATAAAGAAGAGATTGATAAATGTCGGTCTTTTGAGGAACTTCTTGATTTCAACTCATCAAATTTTATGGCAACATAATTACAAGATCATTAAGAATATTGCACTTCCCTATTACACCCTCAAATGTTAGTTTTTCTATCATTTAACAGAGATTTTTATTAGAAACTGATTTTAATGCACATTTTAGTGATAATCAAAGCTAAGTATAGACTCATACAAGGTTATGGCTTTACCTCACAACGATTAAGCTGGCTTTTAATAAACATAATTAGCTGGCCAGAACAGCTGACTTCCAAACTAATCTTCTCAATCAACCCTCTTCATACAGACCTGTTTCAATTTCTTTGTCAACTTTTTTAGTATATTGCATAATTTGCGTAAAGCCAGCGCTGACCCAAAAACATTTAAAGCCACAATTAGCCTGGCCATTAAGTGAAAGTGTTATAAATTAGATACGAGAGCAGTCAGCCAAAAAAACAAAAAAAAACAAAACACATCATCTTCAGGTTTTTTTTGTTTTTTAATTAAATACACATAATATAAATAACCTTTTTCTTTGTCAAGCAATTTGTTTTCTTGCGCGACTAACAAAATATTTGTCTGTGCGCAGGTTATTGATGGGCTGCGAATATTGATGAGCTTTTTCGGCTGCACACAAAGCCAATTTATTTTAATTAGTTGGTATATTTTCCAAATCAAAAAGTTCCCCCAGTTCGCCAGAAGTGCAACAAGTTGATCCAAGACAAATATTATAAAGATTCATAAATAGCTGAGAAAAAAAAAAACTCAACCAGTCATCATCCACAATAGTGGATGCTGTTGATTTTGTGTGTGATTAATTATGGCGATTGCTGTTCTGTTTGTTGTTTGATGTTGTTTGGCTGTTAACCTTAACGCTCGGCACAAAAATAGCAAGTAGAATTTATAATTTTTCATGCCCCGATGATGCAATGAAAAAATCATACACACTCGTACTCGTCCATAATAATAAGATGCTTTGTTATATGGCTTATTAAGCTCGGCAAATAAAAGAAGCAACCGCAGCAGAAGGGGGGAAACAAAAATTAAATAAAATTATTATTAAAATTCATTTAAGGCACGTTTACTCCAGTTTTGAGCTTGGCTTGCCTCCTCGCCTGAAGCTGTTAAGAGCTAAGTGCCATTAAGACCAAGTCCAAGTTTGGCTTTAGTTTCTGCTTAGTTTTCATGATTTTTTCACTCGCTTCTTTTTGGCAGGCAGCTGAACAAAAAAAATTATGATAATTGCCTGACCTTGGCTGGCATGTACTAATACTAATTCAAATTTGCACATCCAGTGCGCAGATCGTTTCGCCCTCCCCCGTCATATTAACCCCTGGCCACCAAACACCGTTCGCATGCAATTATAAAAAAGCGCAGGCCAGAGGCAAAAACATAATTTAATTAAAATGAAATCATGCACAAAGCAATTGCCTCGCTTTGTTCATTGTGCGCTGCGGCAAATTGTTCTAGTTTTTAAGTTTTTTATTTTCTGTATTTTCTGTTTTTTTTTTTTAGATTTTTTGTTATAAACATTCACGACTCGTCGACACTGAAGACGGTCGTTTGTTCTGCGAACGCCTGGTGTTGGTGTTACTAGTAGTTGCCAGTGATGAGCAGATATAAAAAGTATATAAACAAATGCAGTCTATGCAGGGTGATTAGTTTGAGACTGCACCTATATACGAGTAGTATTGGACTTAAACAGTAGTGGGAAAATAACCAGAATATTACAAAGGCAGCTGGCTTTTCTAATAAACTGGAATAAAACTTAATGGCTCCTCAGTACTGGCATTCATTAGGAGACATTAAAAGAACACCTTATGCTAGTTCGATATTTAATAGTCACTTTTTATTGGTGTTTTTGTAGTTTCAGTTATTTGTTAACAAAAAAGCCAAAGGAAAACTTAATGGCTAATAGAGTTTTTTTTCAGGGGTGTTCCTTGAATGTTTATTGGTTAGATAGCAAAAATCAAATCAACTCCCTCAGACATTTAATAAAGTTGCCTGCCATTTAAATCGAATTAAATTTTAAAGAGTTGTGCCTAACAAGGCTTGACTTAATTGAATTCGTTTAATATGCAATTTGATGCCTTCACTCCCGCAGAGTTCCACAAACAAACAATGACTTTTTTTTTGCTTTAATATAAAAACAATTACACTTTCCCCTCCGATTTGAAACTAGTCCGATCAACTTGTAAAGGCAGCTGCAAAGTAAATAGAAGACCGCTCTAGTCCCAGCATCTATTCTGAAACCGAAACTCCAGCCAATCGGATGAGTCATGTGGGCAATGCAAACTCGTTTATTCCCCAGTCGATTTCCAAAAGGGGAGCGAAATTTGTCAAAATGGTTATATCGCATGTTTGATATGTTTCTTTTTTCATCTCTTTTTTCACTGGCATATTACGAATACTTGAGAGGAGGCTGCGGATAGTCAGCTGCAGACACGCATTTCTTTCGCTTTTCCTGACCCAGCACTCCTCTTTGCTTAGTCACGCGGCCTTTATGCTTAGGCAATTTGTCAAAAAAATAACGCACAACAAATTTTACAAACACACAGAGGGGCCAGCCCTTC